TTGTGAGACAGAGTCTCACTGTCTCGCCCAGGCTGCAGTGCAGTGGCACGATCTCAGTTCACTGTAACCTCCACCTCCTGGGTTCAAGTGATTCTCCTGTCTCAGCCTCCCAAGCAGCTGGGATTACAGGTGTGCGCCACCACACCTGGCTAATTTTTCCTTTTTCAGTAGAGACAGGGTTTCGCCATGTTGGCCAGGCTGGTCTCAAACTCCTGAGCTCAGATGATCCGCTTGCCTCGGCCTCCCAAAGTGCTGAGATTACAGGCCTGGCTGACAAGCTTTCTCTAATTGACCCAGGCAAGGGAGGTGAGTGGATGGAAGGGAAAGGTGGGATAGGCAGGCCTGGGAAAAGTCACCTAACTGCTGGCTACAGGCCAGTCTTGAAGGCGGCAGGGGTTCTGGCCCAGTGCAGTCCATAGGCCCCCAGCAGCCCAGGCATTCTAGGCTCTGACCACAAGGCCAGTCTGGAGTGATATGTATGGGCAGAGTGAAGGGACAGAAGTGGGGCAGAGCATGGACGTACAGAACAAGAAAGAGGCTGAGCATGGTGGCTCACACTTGTAATCCCAGTACTTTGGGAGGCTGATGTGGCAGGATCACATGAGGTCAGCAGTTCAAGACCAGGCTGGCCAACATGGTAAAACCCTGTCTCTACTAAAAATACAAAAATTAGCTGGGCATAATGGCGGGCACCTGTAATCCTAGCTACTTGGGAGGCTGAGGCAAGAGAATCACTTGAACCCAGGAGGCGGAGGTTTCGGTGAGCCAAGATCATGCCACTGCACTCCAGCCTGGGCAACAGAGTGAGACTCTGTCTCAAAAAAAAAAAAAAAAAAAGACCAGGTGTAGTGATTCATGCCTGTAATCCCAGCACTCTGGGAGGACGAGGAGGGCAGATTATGAGGTCAGGAGTTCCAGACCAGCCTGGCCAACATAGTGAATCCCCGTCTCTACTAAAAATACAAAAATTAGCCAGGCGTGGTGGCACATTACTGTAGTCCCAGCTACTTGGGAGCCTGAGGCAGGAGAATTGCTTGAACCCGGTAGGCGGAGGTTGCAGTGAGCCAAGACTGCGCCATTGTGCTCCAGCCTGGGTGACAAAAAAAAAAGAAAGAACAAGAAAGGACAAGGACACTGGAGTCCCATCGCCCTGGGAGCCAACCCCAGCTTCATGGCTCCCGGGCAACCTCACAGAGCATCAATAGAAGATCCTAGAAGAACAATAACCCTGGCAAGTGCTTTTCTTTCCCTGGGTTTGAAGGAGGTTCCACAGACAAGAGACTGGAAGCCACAGGGCCCCGTGGAGGGAGGGCATCCCCCCATCCTCCGTGGTCTTTGTCCTATTTGCATTCAATTCCAAGGTAAGTCTCCCAGGCTTTCAAGAATTGCATGAGCTCAGAGGCAAGTGGGGGAAAACTGAGGCATAGGGTTTCCAGGCAGAGTAGAAGCTGTTCACATGCTAGTGCCAGGGGCCCCTCCTGCCTCCTCTGTGCCCCTGAGGAAGCCCCGTGACTGGCAGGACCTTGGGCTGCTAGCTCCACCCCCACCCTCGGCATCCACCATAAGGCACCCTTGACTCAGACTTTATTGTACTCAAGTAAAAACCCGCCGGACCCGCGGCAGGTGGCACAGAAAAGAGGTAGGAGGTGGGTAGGGACACTGAGGATCAGGTCTCCAGCAGGTCTGTCCAGTGTGCCTGCAGAGGTAAGAAAGTTGGTCACAGGCAGACGAGGGCAGACAGCAGGGTAGGGAGCCCGCCACCAAAGCCCACTCACCTCTTCTAATTCTGAGTCTTCTACTTCTTTCTCAGTGTCCATCTGGCACAGCCAGATCAGGTCTCCCCAAAGCAGTGACTTCTCACAGCTACCAAGGAGAGGGGCAGGTAGGAGATGCAGAGTCAGATGCCACAAGCCCCCTCCAGTATCGGCCTTGGATGCTGAGATGAGGACTCAGCTGCCTGGGCCTGGATTGCACAACTGGGCACCCTCTTCCCAGAGCTGGACCAGGCTGGGGCTGGGGGACTGCACTCACCTAGGGCATTGGCCCTCTAGGGGCAGAAGCTGCCCTGGTTCTTCCCGAAGGAACTCCTCTGCCAGGCAGATCACATGGGCCCTTAGCCAGCAGCCAGGGTTGGGGCAACACAAGGGCCCATCTTCATCCCATCCCAGGCAGCAGGCAGGTAAGAGACAAGCAGGGAGAGGGAGCTGGCAGCAGGCCCCCTCCGTGCAGCAGGCACTGTTCTGGGCATCACACAGCTCCATCCCGTGAGGCAGCAGTGACTCTTATTTGCATCTTACGAATGAAGAAACTGAGGTGCAGGGTTAAAATCCTTGCCCCTGGAACTAAGCTGGTGAATGCCCTGTGAACATCAGCAGTGACTGATTAAGTCACAGCCTCACCACTGCAGCCAGGACTGAACTTTCTCACAGCTCAACAACCCCCTGCAGGTCACTGAATCTCCACAGGGCAAGTCCTCCACTCACTGGCAATTGCCAGGAGCTCAGTAGAAGGCACCCATCATCCATTATTTTATTAAATATTTAGGCCGGGCACAGTGGCTCATGCCTGTAATACCAGCATTTTGGGAGGCTTAGGTGGGCAGGATCACCTGAGGTCAGGAGTTTGAGACCAGCCTGGCCAACATGGTTGAAACCCCGTCTCTACTAAAAAATACAAAAATTAGCCAGGCGCGGTGGCAGGTGCCTGTAATCCCAGCTACTCCAGAGGCTGAGGCAGGAGAATTGCTTGAAACCGGGAGGCAGAGGTTGCGGTGAGCCAAGATCGCACCATTACATTCCAGCCTGAGAAACAGAGTGAGATTCTGTCCCAAAAAAAAAAAGAAAAAGGAAAAGAAAATTTCTGGGCCATCGGCTCTATGCAGAACTTTGTTCCACAGCAGTGGTAAGTGCTGCCCTCCGAGAGTGCAGTATGGCAGTTGGGGTGGGAGTGACTAATGAGATCAAGAAAACACGTAGCATGCCAGACAATATTAAGTGTTAAGGGAAAGGGGGTAGCAGAAAAGTGCACAAGAATGAGCTGCAATTCATTACATTGTTTTAGAGACAGGGTCATGTCCAGGCATGATGGCTCACGCCTATAATCCCAGCACTCTGGGAGGCTGAGGCAGGCAGATCACTTGAGGTCAGGAGTTTGAGACCAGCCTGGCCAACATGGTGAAACCCCATCTCTACTAAAAACACAAAAATTGGGCAGGTGTGGTGGCACACTTGGGAGGTTGAGACAGGAGAATCGCTTGAACCTGGGAGGCGGAGGTTCCAGTGAGCTGAGATCACTGCACTCCAGCCTGGGCAACAGAGCAAGACTCCCTCTAAAAAAAAGAGAGCGATAGACAGGGTCATGCCCTGTCGACCACACTGGAGTGCAGCGAAGCGATCGTAGCTTACTGCAGCCTTGAACTCCTGGGCTTAAGCAATCCTCCCACCACAGCCTTCCCAGTAGCTGGGATTACAGTCTCCTGCTTGCCACCATGCCCGACTACTCAGAGCTGCGATTATAAATCGGGAACCAGAGAAGACCTCACTGAGAAGGTGGTAGGTTATCAAGACAGATGGCCTAGGGAAGAATCTTTTCATCAAAGGGGAAATGGTGAAGGCCCTGAGCAGGTCCTGCTTTGCTCAGGAATGGCCGTAAGTACTATAGCATCTGCATCTTAGAGATGGGGATAGGGTGGCCAAAGAGTGTCAGTGGGTTTCCCTCAAGAAAGAGCTGGATCCGAAGTCGTCTGGACCCTAGAGCCGCCCGTGCCTGGCGGGGACCTCACCTGGATGGTCTGGGCGCACAGGGAGCAGCAAGCCCCTGGATCCCCCTGGTCTGGCTCAGGCTCAGCGTCATCAAAGGGACCTGCGCGGCGCCTTGGGGCCGGGGCCTGGGGCGGTGGAGGCCCGAAGGCTAGGGGCACGTGTGGCGGCGGCGGCAGGCAGAGGTCCTGGCGGAGGTCGGGGCGCAGCCAGCGCAACGT